TCTTACACTGTCTGAGGTCTCCCTTAACCCACTTTTCCTAATCACTTGCCTTTTGACTGAAAAGTTGCCAGTTTAGATCCATAGGCCCCATGGGCAGCGCACCTGATGGTCTGCGTCATAGAGGACAGCTGAGTTGCTGTGAGTCAGAAGAACTTGGTGGCACTCAGCAACAACATGTCTGGATCATTCCTTCCTTCCTTTTAAATAATTTTATGATGAGGCATAAGTTATGCGTTCATACTCTGTTTGCAAGCCTAAGTTATAGCCATTTATTTATTCCACTAGCGGTTTAGCGGTGACTGTCCTTACATAGATCTCTGTGCATGGGGAAGATGGCTGTGTCTGAGGGTGCTCAAGTCCTCACAGACTTGCCACTTATGGATATTACTGGTCTTTGATTGAACATTAGTTCATTTTTAAGCACCTGATTTTGATTTTACTGCTCTTTAATATAGTTATTCCTCTATATTTCTATGGGACTTTTAAATAAGTAATTGAATTGAAAGCATACTGAAAAGCAATTAGATAGAAATTTTCTAGTAAAAGCTATTGTATTTCCTTACCCTCCAATCTGGCTAGCTACCAGTCCTAACAGGTTCAATTGAAGCACCCCTTTGGTGGCACTGTCAGGTAAGCACAAGGTCTAAGGTTGGCAGTTCAAGCCTACTAGACCCTGTGAGAGAAAGATGCGACTGTCTACTACTGTGGACATGGATAGCACTGAAGAACAGATAAGGTCCCTGGGAATTGGAATTCACTCTGTGTCAGTGAGTTTGGTTTTCTGAGAAGCCTTTTCTGCCTACTTGCTCTGATTTTGTTTTCCTTCCATAGCACCTGGTCTCTTTCTGTAAACAGTGTTACAGTTATTGATTACTCTCCCTATTTCAAAATCAAAGCTCATCATTGAAGGCGAGGCAAGGTTGTTTTCTTAGTATGTGAATATTCAATGCCTAAAGCACCCAAATACTTAAATAAGTATTAAATAATGCATGCTTTCCCTCCCTTCTTTTTAGTACCTGGTGTTGCTGAATTTGCAGCTTCCTTCAAAAGTGTAAGTAATATCTTGCTTATCTAGTGAAGTTTTGCTTCTGAGTAAAAGCTCAAATCTCTTCTTTCTCTGTTTTTAAGGATTATATCATTGCCTTCAAATCCTTTTGTAACTACAGCCCTGGAAATCTGTTTACATTAATCATTAAGTAATTGATGATACTCCTTTCTTCTCCAAAATTGGCCTTTATTCGTGATGTGTTATGACTTTAATTAATACTTCCTCAAAGAAATTTGAAATTTCTTAACAGTTCATGGGACACCTAACCAAACCAAACTCACTGCCATCGATTTGATTCTGACTCACGGTGACCGTATAGGACAGGGGAGAATGCCTTTGGGGGCTTCTGAGACTGTAACTAGGGCTCCTCTAGGAAACCTGAAAAAAAAGGAAGACATCTATTAGAACTGCAGATTTTTTTCATTTCCAGGGCAGCAGGCATTGTGCTAGATGCTGTAAATATGCTCTTTTATATACGATGGGGCTTCAAAAAATTTGTGAGATTGCTGGATTATATAATATCTCTATTTCAAACTTCTTCAGGAAATGCCAAACCATTTTCCACAGTGATTTGTACCATTTTACCTTCCTAATAGCAGTACAGCAGGAAGTTTCCAATCCATCACACCTTTGCCAGCATTTGTTGTTTCTATTTTTTGGTCATTGTTATTATTGTCAGCATGAAATGATAGCTCATTTTGATTTGCATCTCTCTAATAGCTAATGATTGGGAACATTTCTGCATGGTTTCTTGACTTCTTTTTTAAAATTTTGCTTTACTTTTAATTAATTAAAAGTAAATTTTAATTAATTAACACCCCCCACCCCCACTCCCTTAACATTTTGAACCATTGTTTTCTCATCTGAAACTACTGGGATAGGATTCTTAAGAGGCTAAAATGTCAAAATGTGTTTAAAACACTTTATATACTGCCTAGCTCAAAACAAACTTGGTACCCATGATCAAACTTTTTTCTAGTAGATTTTGTACACAATGTTTGATTTCATTTTCTTCCATTCTTATTTGGACTTAGTTTTCAATTTAGCTAATTGTATTTGGTTACAATTAAGTAATTTTAAGTATTGAATATAAATAACTATTGCAATCAAGCTGATCCTAACTCAAATTAATCCTGTAAGATAGAGCAGAACTACCCCATAGGGTTTTCAAGGCTGTAATTTTTATGGAAACAGACTGTTATATCTTTCTCCCATGAAACGGCAGGAGGTTTCAAACCTCAAAACCTTTCAGGT